ACAGTTGAATGTGATCAGCATGAGTGAAATCAGATTAACTATTTTTTATTTTTTTCTAGGACAAATGTTTCAAAAGTTATAATTGTTTGAAATGTGAATTTTGAACTGGTGGTGGCGCTGTAGAGTTGGTCCTAGGGACCCCAAATTTGGTCAGGGTTTTATTGAGAACCACCTTAATAAGTGTGCCAATTTTCATAATTTTCCTATGTTCCATTAATATGGCTGCCATAGACTCCCATTCGGGAAAAATAAACACTTCTGATTTTTCTCAGCAAGTCTGAGGTGTTATATCCAAACATGTTAATCTAATATACATTAATGTATCTATTTTCTTAAATAATTGAATATCTACATAAAATCTGTCACAAAAACAAATGCAGTCTGTTGAAACAAATAACACACAATGGTGCTTTCATGTCTTCACTGTGCAGGGTGGAAAAACGGACCTTGATTGAACAAATATTTCCATTACCAAAAACCTGCATGATCAAGAGGTCTGTTTCAGTTCAGCTATATTCTTGGGATGTCTGGACCACTAATCACCACTATTCTTATTTAGTGTTTCACAAATCATAGACACACTAACAGAGTCATTAGCATTTCTCAGAAATGACTGCAAGTCTTGGACTCAACGTTTTTCTACATTGCACTGCAAATGTTTGGTATGCTCAATAAAAAAAATTAAAAAAAACCATGAAAACACATTAATGTTTGTGTATTGTTTGTCTGTTATTGTCACCTAGTTGAAGATCAGATTACATTTTATGACAAGCTTATGTAGAAATTCATGCTAGAGTGCAACACTTGCAACATATTATACCCTGAATGTCTTGGGAGGCATATTTGTCTGATGATCACCATCGCATACTTAAGAATCTAGACACATTTGAGATATTTGTCCTGTGAAACATATATGTTGTTATTTACTGTACCTCAGTGAACATTGCACTATAATAGACATTTTTATTACACACAATGTTAGTCTATTTTTGCACACAGCTCTTACAGTGATAAACTACAGGAAGTTCCATGACAATGACCTCGCAAAATCAACACAAGCGTATGTCTGTTGAAAACAACCCAGAGTGTGGTGTAATATTTAGTGTAAATGCTTGATCACCCTGTATATGTGTAATGTAATTTTCCTTTTTCTCTTACATTTATTTATTAACTTATGTTTATTTATTACAATTTTTTTTTATTTTATTTTGAATTTGTCTGGTCCCCAGAAAACTACAATTTGTGTTCAAACTATAAAACCCACCACAGACAACAGACATGCACCAAATATTGACATGGCATATTTTCCTCACTCTGTATTAATGTACAAACAGTAGTCTATAAATTATTTCAAAAATAACATTAAGTATTTTAATGAGTCATCTTTTTAATGTTAAAATGACTGTCCGCATGAAATAGCTCTGAATTATGATACAGCATACAGTTTTCGATGTGATTTGGATATTGGATTTCGGAATATAGTTTCTTGGTTTAGCTAGTGGTTAAGATCTGGGCTGAGTGGGTATTTGAACAGGGCTGACAACTCTCATGCATTCAGCTTGAGACTCACACAATTGACACCATTCTCACGCTCTCATGCATTGAAAAGCACCCTCAAAAGAAAGCAAGGGCAGCATCAGTTTAAACTGTAATAATAAGATATTGGTGAAACAGACTTGGTAAACTCTCTAGTGCATATTAGTGTTTGCATTCTGTTATTACTTTGTAGCGTTGAGCAATGTAGCAAATTACAGACATATCTGTTGATTTCTTGAACACCCGTGTTTGGCTATTGCGTTCAAGTTAGTCGGAATTGACTCACCGCTCAAAGCGGCTTTTAGCATTAAGTAAAAGAAGCTCCACAATAGCCAAGTCCGCTCACCCACACGACGCCATACACGCTGTCTGCCATCTGCCCTGTACGGTGTCACATGACAGAATTAGGCTATAGGCAGCGTCCGTGTTCGTGGTGTTGCTCACGTTAAAGCACCGTTTCTCTGTAGTTCAAAAGCGCATTAAATCATATTCATATTATTGTTTCTAAAATTATTTTATATATGGTAAGAAAAGGACGAGTTACCTCTCAAAAATAAGTTTCAAGTAAAAATGTATTCATTTTGTTCTGAAGATAAAAGTTGTCGAGTTAGTAATGCTTAACTGCGTGCGTGAGGCGCCGGCACGATCACTTGATTTTTTTTTTTTATTATAAAAGTGGAAACAACTTACAATACTCGTTCATTTGTGGTCATATAAGAATAAGACATTGTTCGAAACTATTCTAAATATTTCTTTTATTTGTGTACATCCACAATAAAAACAAACATTGTGCTTTTGTAAAATAAAGGAAACAAACAGGATGCCGCTTTCTCAAGAGCGCATCACAAAAATGAACCGAAATGCTGCATACAGGTTGCTACTTGTTGCACAGTTTTTTTTCTTCTTTCGTTTTGTCAATTTATTAATTATTTCGAAAAAATATATTTCGCATATAGCCCTATTTATTTATTTTATATATAGCTTTATTATGTTTTTATCCATTCGCAGAAGCGCTGCAGGTGTGTGACATTGTGAATCCTCTCGTTCTGTTGTTTATGCTGCTTTTTGCGTGTATAAAATTAATCCCTGGAAAACAAATTTAGGTATTTTTAATGGGTCACAGCCACATATCAATTGAAATTTAATTTAATTGTAATTTATCATAATCTTGTCGGTTAACGGTTAATAATGGCTTAACGACCGTCGGTTGTCGGTTAGGAGAAATAAAATAACCGAAATTAACATTCCTATTTCCAATACAGTCAACAAGGCAGTTAACAAAAATGTTAATCAGAAAAATAATAATAATAATAATACAACTGCACCTGCTTATGAATATTGCTTGATGTTCAAGTATCTAAATAGTCTAAAACAAAGTACAAAAAAAAAAAAAATTTTCGTGTATAAAATTAATCCCTGGAAAACAAATTTAAGTATTTTTAATGGGTCACAGCCACGTATCAATTCAAATTTCATTTAATTGTAATTTAACATAATCTTGTCGGTTAACGGTTAATAATGGCTTAACGACCGTCGGTTGTCGGTTAGGAGAAATAAAATAACCGAAATGAACATTCCTATTTCCAATACAGTCAACAAGGCAGTTAACAAAAATGTTAATCAGAAAAATAATAATAATAATAATACAACTGCACCTGCTTATGAATATTGCTTGATGTTCAAGTATCTAAATAGTCTAAAACAAAGTACAAAAAAAAAAAAAACCTCATGAAACTTGTTAATAAAAATAATTGTATGTAGGCCTATACAATTTAATAATAGGCTATATAATAAAGTTTTTGTTTCAAATGGATGAAAGAACAGGCTACTAGCCTATATAATTTGAGCAATAGGTGAAATGATGTATGGAAACAGCTCAAGTGCTTTTTTTTTTTGCAATACACCAAAACTTATGCGACAATTCGTTTTTTTAGGGATGACGTCATCACGCACACCATTTTATCAGTAAAAGGCTAGTTGGATGGAAACAGACTGGACACAGCAAATTTCGCAAAGTTTTTTTTTTACGCATATTCTCTGTCGATAACAAAACAGCTCAAAAACTGAATGGAAACTTGGCTACTGTATGCGCGTGCTTTCCTGCACGTAAGCTTGCGAGCACCCTTCTGAACACTAAAATGACAAATGGGACACCCTACGGTCTCGTGGACTTAACGGACACGTGCACGCAGCGGCCATTGTAAGTCCGCAAGACCGAAAGTGCACATGAAGTGTGCCATTTGGAACAGGGCCCAAGTGCACACACACACAGCAGTGAGAATGTACTCTTCTCACGCACAGTTTCAGGCTCAGCGATTAACTCAGAGTCTTCCACTTGTAAATACGACGTTGTTTGGCCATTAATTTACTTGAAATTTGAAATTACGATATTTAAAACCTCGCTTGTAGCACATAAAGCAATAACGAGCAAGAATGCTGATGTTGCCTCAGGTGATGACCCCCGCTGATATTCAGAAAAACAGTGCGATTATATAATGATCATGATTATATCAAGAGTTAAATGAAAAAGATGTTTGTTTTTGCTTCACCAGTGAAATAGTTCCCGCCGTCACGTGAAACCGTGGCATTTTATTTAATGACTCGTTCACTTGTTCTTGAATAAACGAATCATTTAAATGAATGATTCAATGACTCACTCATAAAGACATTCATTTGTCGCCACCTATTGGCAAACAATGATGTAGCCTAACCTGCAGATAGATGTTTGAAAATGTAGAAACGTCTTATTTAAAGTTGCTGTTTATTATTGCTTACACAAACTTTTTTGCTTAATATTACAACATTTTTGGAAGACTAGAGTCACTAGAGTAAACTGTATGCATGTTTTTTTTTCTCAATAAACTTAAAATTAACATTAATTAAATTGTATATCATGCTTCCAATGTGCTCTATGAAAAAAATTATATTAGCCTACTTGTGTTTCCTAGATACCGTAAAATGCAATGAATTTTCAATAACATCCTCTGTTTGGTGTACACAAAGCAATACACTCCTGCCTCTTTTTTTTATTAATTTATGTATTTTTTATTTTATTTATGAATTTATTTAGTTTCTTTTCTAGGTCATTTTAATCCCAAATAGGACAATATAGAATAACAATCACTTTTCTACAGGCCGGTCAATATAACAGGCAGGTTAAGTTTTGATAAAATCATAGGAATACTTTAAAATAATTTGAATGAAAAAAATACAGATCTTCAAAATTAGCTTATTCATAGGGTACATTCAGGCTAACTGGGACATGGGGTCTCTATTTATTTTTGCAGAATAAGCACAAATAAAATGTAGTTTATTAAGACACTTAATCTAGTTCAAATCAGTAACTCTTCCAGTAAGTTTGGTGAATCACAGCCCTGGAGCCCTTTGTTCAGTAGGCTACTGCACACTTCCTATCTTTGAAAATATTTGAGTCGTTACTGACCTGTGTTGCACAACCCAGCTGACCCAACACATCACACACTGATGCAGCATTTCTCAACTGCGTCCACTTCAACCTGCGAGACCGTTCAATATATGAACTGGACATAGACGGGCAAAAGAAGAAGAAAATGGAAACTTATGATGGCGTATGAAACGGTTTGTAAGCTCGCACAGCCTGCTTATGGTGAAATGCATCAGATCGGACCAGTCATGCTGAAAAGCTTCACGGATTATGAGCATTGTTTTTTGATGCATGTTTCTCAGTTCTGTCAGAATGTTTTCGAAAGGTAGGTACTGCAAACATTTCTTTGCTATCTTTTGTCTGACATTTCATCTTTAGCCTAAATGTTCTGTTGTAGGTTATTATAAGCCATAGCCTATCATAAAGTTGCATTTTGCCTAAATAGCCTACTTTCAGTTTGATTTTAATTCTTTTAAGTTTATTCGCGTATTGTTTCAAAACCAATTATTGCATTAATAATCAATTACAGAATTAAAAAAAAATATATATATATACACTCTAAAAAATGCTGGGTTGTTTCAACCCAACTTTTGGTCAAATATGGACTAACCGAACTTTTGGGTAAAAAATGTAATTTAAAAATTTAACCCAAAAGCTGGGTTAGTCCATATTTGACCCAAAGTTGGGTTGAAACAACCCAGCATTTTTTAGAGTCTTGTCAATAACCGCAGGAAGCGCATAGCTACCGTTAAGTGCGTTGGTTCGTGTGAAACTTAGGCTATACAGCTGGCTTAAAAGCACTGCTCACATACTTGTTAAGGATTTACTTTAGGATTGAGTTTGGTTGAACTGGGCGAAAGTTGGTGACGTTTTCTTTCTCTTGACGTTTTCTTTTGTTTAAAAGTGGGACATTTTTGTATTTTTTTATTTTTGCTATGTTGGTTATCCTATTTTTTTAAATGTAAAACAATGTTTAAGCATGGTGGAGGTCTGTCCTGTCAGATGAGACCTGACCCCCCTTCAAACATTTAAAAACAAGCGGCTGGAAAATGACGAGATTCCCTTTAGCTGTACTATTGTACTGCACTGGCATTGTTCGGTGCAGTGATAAAGTTGCCCGCTTTAACTCGATGCTATTGGCTATGTACGAAGAACTATCTACGAAGTTTGCTGAACTATCCACAACATTAACAAAAGCACAGAAATAAGAGCGCGCAGTTAATCTTTCGAGATGCAGTTTGCGTTCTTTTTTTAATTCAATGCCACGAGAACAAGTAGGCTATTAAATAATAATAACACTATTATTAGTTGCCAGAGAGAGAAAAAAGATGTATACATTTTAATGCTTTTAACACGTTTTCAGTGTTTTTTTTTTACAAAAGGTTTATGTCTAAAATAGTTTAGGCTATGATCTGAGAAATGTTGTTTAACTCAATAACATCCCTGCTGAAAAACAATAGACACCATCACAACAATTGTAATGGCTCTACTGGTTATAATGGACTTGCATTGGTTTTAATGGAAACTTTAAGGGACCCTGTGGTTTATTCTGGTAATTGGTCACCTTCTATAGGTGGCTTGTTAAAGCCACTAAATCCTAATGGAATATGACCCAAAACACACTACAGAAAACCATTTTTTAATGCTAAAAAAAAATGATGGTTTGTAATGTTTGTAATGGTATTTGTAGTGGAAACCATTAGAATGTCTGTGATTTCATTGTTTGTTTGTTTGTTTTCTTTCTTATTTAATTAAAAAAAAAAAAATTTTTTTGGGGGGGGGGCAAAAATACTGTCCCTAATTTGCCTGCACTCACAGCAGCCCCACTCTTTTTGTTTATTATTTAATATTAGTCAACTGTTTTACGATATAAATGTTTAATGACCAACATCTATCTTTGTTGGAGATATGCAGGCAAAAAAATTATAGATAAAAAATGGATAATAGACTCTCTCTCTCTCTCTCTCTCAAAGGCGGCGCTGAAAAGACCATAATAAAAAAAAAAGAAAAAGAAAGTTCTTGAAATGCAATGCAATGAATTACAAGACTGTAGAGAACAGTGCACTAGTGCAAACTTATATACTGAGGTTTTAATGAGATTATTTTAATATAGTCAGTCATGAACTAAAGTGGGCCGGTCTGAGGCATGAAACTCCAGAGCTGAAAATGAGTCCCACTCCGGCCCTGACATGGATTGTTCTTTACTTTCCAAATTATCATTCTGAAAATAAAAAAAGCACATTTCATAACACTATTTATAATTTTTGCATGACGTCATAGCTTTATAGGAACGCACACCTTTTCTTAAAAATGCATAAAATAACCCTTTATTCCAACATAGATAGTGTATCTGAAATTGCGTACTGAGTAGGTACTACATTTGAATTTGAATTTACTTCACAACCGTTAAAAAAGTGTGCTCTACATAGTATAAATATGGGTAGTATATATGAAATTTGGACATGCTTACATCCGCCATTTTTTTACTGTCACATGACCTACCTGCGTCAGTTGCGTCGCTTCATTGACGTCCATAAATCCTCTACAGTAAAGTGTGCGAATGCACACGGAAGTTGTAGGTCATCCAGGTACATCACCTACTGTACTTTGAATACTCTGAATTCGGACATACTACTCGCCTCACATACTGTTTTTGCATACTATATAGTAGAGGAGTATGCGATTACGGATGCAGCTTTACTCTCCCAATTCATTCTTATACAAAGCATGCTTGGAACTAAAAATGCACTGCTCAGTTTTAGTCAATTCAAATAAAATTATTCATACACTCCCAACACAAATGGATTAAGTAAACCTTCACATGTGTTAGTGGATTGAATGTAATGACATTAAATTGTGATCAGATGTTCAATTGTGTTGCTTTAATAGAAACAACCATACAATTTGTGTTCTTTCTTTTCTTTAGGGAAACGCGATGTGAAATATGAACGACTAGAGAGTGAATCAGAAGCAAAGCCTTCTAAGAAGAAGATCTGTGCATTGAAGATCTTTTATTTTTATTGCTTATTATTTGCGCTTTTCTTTATTGTCTTAATTTACGTACAAGATTCCTCCGAAGCACCTTATGCCAAACCAGAAGACTCTGACCTGCCAACTCATCCTTTACCAATCCTCCAAACACCACACATCTACACATCCGCCAGTCCTCCGTCTCCAAAGGCGTGTGGTGTTCAAGTGAAGGATGGGCCTGTGGTTAAAGTCGGGCATCTTAACACATACGTGATCGGCTCTTACTTGGAGCATCGTTTTGGTAAGAAACAGATAAAGACGATTGCCATTGTTCTTCGACGTGAGCAGGCGACGTTCAGTTGTGTGATGTGCTGCGATGGGACGACCGTGAGGTTACCAGCTGAATGCTCAATTCATGACGACCACTTTAACTTTGAATATGGCGCCGCTACTATCACGTGCACAATCAAAAGCACGTGTTTGACACCGACGCATGTTGCAATCACAGCAAGTGGCGTCTCAGGGAGCCTAACATCCTTCCAACCTATTAGAAACAGAGACGTTCCAACAGCCTTCCCGTATGAGTTCACAATCTGCATCTCTGTCATGTACGACTACAAGAGTGTGCTGAATCTAGTCCAGTCCATGGAGATGTTCAGACTGCTTGGCGCTCAAAGGGTGGTGATATATAAAACCAACTGCGATTCACACACACAGAAGGTTCTGGACTATTATGAGAAAAAAGGTTTCGTGGAGATCATTCCGTGGACGATTAAAAAGCACATTAAAGTGTCTCGCGGCTGGAATATAAATAAGTCGCCAGGTCAGCTGCAGTATTATGGGCAGATCCCTGCGCTTAATGACTGTGTTTATCGTTACATGTACCAAAGTCGCTATGTGGCTCTACATGACTTGGATGAGCTCATTCTGCCTTTAAAACTGAAATCCTGGACGGAGCTGTTGCCTGGGCTTGAGATCATGTACAGTTCTTATGTGGGCTTTGAGTTTGAGAATAACCAGTTCCCGTTCACCGCAAAGGCTCATGCGGGTTATGAGCAAGACAAATGGAAAAACATACAGGGAGTGAATATTTTAAATTATATCGATCGAGTACCCAACCTCCCTAATACATTCAACAATTACAAGATTATAGTAAATCCTCGGCTGGTTTTGAAGGCTACTGTCCATGGCTTGCTGGAAAGTGTGAACAGAAGCTCCACGGTCCGAGTGAACAACTCCGTCGTTCGCATGTACCACTTTAAAAACTTTACATACCCACCCAACACAAAGCTTGTAAGAGATTATCATCTCTGGGACTATGCCAATGATCTTATACCGGCTGTTTATAAAGTTCTACAGGCCTCTGGACTCATTGAGGCCTAGATTGTAAAGATTCATAGCGTTGCTATGCTCAAATTATTGTAATGAAGGACTGTGTGTCACTGGTCTGAGGGCTTTAGGGTTTATATGATAACAAATGCACAGCAGTTTGCATTATCAAGCAGCATAACAAGGTATTCTGCACAGCCAATATAACTGTAAGCAGACACTGGACACTGGAAGCTGTGCACATTACATTTATGTACTTTTTTAATAATAGATAGAACTGTGCTTCCTGGGAGTGGGTGGAGATAAAGAGCACTGCTGTTGGCATGTTTTACTTGTTCGGCTCTCTGATTGGTGGAATTTTCTGTACAGCATTGTGGGTAATGTAGTTTTTCACCACTGATTCTTCTGTAAAAAGAATATTTTAAAAATAAGTTGAAATAAAGCAGACTGATGGTTTCAAAAGAAGCAAATACCATCGATTAACAACCTCGTATATCTCACAGCAGTTATGTCTATAAATGTTTATGTTACGTAAAAATCTGTTTTCCTATGGAGAAAATAAATGCCGTTTTTCATTCCAAAATTAGGAAAAGTTCAATAGCTCATTATGAAATATATAGAGGTTAAGCACAAAAATAGTTTTTGCATGTGCATTCCCTTTTTCTGCATTGCTTCATGACATTGAATGTGTATAACATTCATATACACTGTATGGTTTGCATAACGCCAGGAAGACCAACATATCTGCTGGTTTAAGCTGGTCCTTAGCTGGCCATGAGCTGGTCCTAAGCTGGTCCTAAGCAACTAGCTCCTGCTCAGGACCATCTTAGGACCAGCACATGACCAGCTTAAACCAGCTCATGACCAGCTAAGGACCAGCTCAAACCAGCAGATATGCTTCAAAACATACCTAACCAGCATATGCTGGATTATTCAACAGGGTCTCCTTCACTCCCAGGTCGGACGGAGCAAAGAAGCATCTAAGAGTCAAAGAACTGTCTAGCAAAGAAGCGTCGGGGTGGGATTCAAGCAAAATGTTCAAAGCATTGAAGTTGTCTTGTTGGAGTGTTGGCACCAGTTCATCCAGTGCCCCACATGTTGTTTCTCCCCTCTCAGATCTCAACCTGCCTGGGGAACTGGACCTCATTGAAATGTGTATGAGAACAGCTGCCAAACTCTCTATCGACTAGCCATCTCAACAAGAGAGGGATTTATATGATAGGAAGAGGCTGCCATCAGGCACTTCCCCAGTCAAGCAGCTGATACCAGCCGTCCCAACATGTGTCACAGAGATATGGTGCTTCTGGGACAAACCCTTCTCACATGGCGTACCTGTTAAAGGTTTCTCTAGGTTGGATGTACACAATATGGAGGAGTTGGGGATGTTCAACCCCCAGACTCAGCATTGTGGAAAGAGATCTGCGTCATTGCAGATCTCAACCTTCGCTCATCGAGGGGAGCAAATAATGCATCAGCTGTGCGACTTACACAAGCAAGATAGGGAAGCTTTTGAAAATTGCCTTCCCAGGAAGCCTACTGCTCGCCCTCCCCCCAAAACATGTGTCCGGGGTTTGGCTTCCAGGGGGGGACAGTTAGGGTACAGAAACCCTAGCCCTAGCAGTCAATGCAGGTGGAGGTTCACCCAGCCCAAAGGCCTCGTTTGTGGCAGCAGCGGCTAAGCATCGCACAGTTAACCCTCAGGGAGGGAAAAAGAGGCAGGTGACCTAACCTGTGGTCTGGTTTTGAATAATCAAAAGAGGGGCTACAGCACTCATGGAGACTCTGTAGCACACCTCTGCACAGCACATGAGTCTTGTGCCCCTGTGGGGTGGGATTCAAACAAAATGTTCAAAGGAAGGAAGTTCTCTGAGTGTTCGCACCAGTTAATACCGGTTCCCCACAAGTTGTTCCTCCCCTCTCCACCTGCAGGGTTATGCAAGAGAGAGAGGACGAAAGTTTACACAAGTGTTCTCATTCAAAAGAAATAAAATTTTTCCCAGTGCATCCAGGCAGTGGGCCAAGAGCACAGATGTATGAGAAAATAAAAACAAAAATACACACAAAAACATCCAGATCAGAGCTGCAACCCCCAGCTCCGCCGCTAGAGCTCACGCAGAGTTGGTGCATGCGCAGTACACCCTTGGGTTTTGTCCACGATAAAACGGGGTTATTGTCTGGAGTTTGCTGTAAAACCTCCACTCTTCAACAGTGTGTTAATGTCAACAGCAGAAAGGGAATCAGCTCAGAACCTCTTTATTGAGCAAAAGATTGATTTGGGTCGTGCTGCAGGAGGACAGCCAGAACGGCTTTTACTGTACATCCTTAATTGGAAGGCTTTCCTTTTTGTGAGCCAGTTTTTAGCCACTAAAACCTCCTCCAATTTTTGATCTACACTGTAATGATCGGCCAGACCTCAGAGGTGCTCCTCACAAAGAAAGCTATCAGATTCAGGATTACAGGCCTGAACACCTCTCAATATTTGGCCATCAAGAGATTAAAAACTTTGCTCCATCTCAGACACCATTCTGTCAAGGCAAGGTAGAACCAGAAACCAGCTCAAACCAGCAGACATGCTTCAAAACATACCAAACCAGCATATGCAGTTTTGGGCCACAATGCTGTAATATTTCCCTTTATTTTGACCAGTGGTTTTTGTGTTCTCTGCTGCCACTGTGCTCATCTCCCTTAGTTTCCTCTGCATGCCTCTCCCGTCTTCCACTCTGCCCTGCCTCCAACTGTTCATCCAGCTCCATCTTTCTTACTTCTCCTCCACCTGTAGGGTCTTAGTCAGACATTACATGAAAAGGCATCCGTTCTCAGGAAAACCTCTGTAAAGTCTATACAATTGCATTATCCAACATCAAGCAGAGCGTCCTAAAATAAAACCGTTACAGACAAAAATACAGGAAGACGGTGCACTCGTATTACTTATGAATGGGAGAAATTGCAACGCCCAATATGGCGAATAAGCCCCGCCTTCTACATGAAAGAGACAATGGTTGATAGTAAAGTCATCATATGGTGGCCCTTAGAAACAGTTGCTAATGAGGCATCTACGTATACATATATATATATATATATATATATATATGGTAAGAACCTCTGGAGATATCTAGCATGAAAAACAAGCTATGTTTAATGCTATTTGAACATAAGAAACTAGATTTATTTGACTGTTGTTGTCAAAATGAACTGAGTTCATTGGTGTTTTCAAATATGAAATTTAATCATAAGCTTAGAGAACAGTTTTGGAGAATTTGATTTTTCCCCATTCAAAGAGATAGGAGCTGCCCGAGAGGCATTTCAAAGATAGCCGCTGAGTGAAACGACTTGTCTTAGGGACTTTGGTTTGGCTGCTAGCTTGCAAAACTAGCTGTGCTATATCTAACTTTATAAATGCAGAAGTGCTGCATCTATAAATTAGCTACCTAGCTAACATAATTGGTGCAAATTGAACTGCATATTTGAAACTCACTCAAAACAAGCCAAACTAGATCAACTGAATGTGCAAGTAGCAACCATGCTAAAATATGTTCATATATCTTAAAGCAATGTCATTAAATCTTGGGCACAATACTTGTTGTAGCCTATATTTTTATTTTTTTTTATTTGCATTTTCTGTATACTTGAGTTAGTAGATTAGCGTGCTTAAATTGATTATAACTTTAAACACTACAACTACAATTATTTATCATTAAATAACTTCAATAATAGTAACTCAGAGTAACATACAAACTAGCTCTTGGGAACAAGCATTTATTTCATTTACAAATTATGAAAGAATAAACCTGCAATTGACCCTGAAATGTATGCGGCAAATTCTTTTTTTTTAATTTTTTTTATGAGACATGAAAGCTGTCTAACCTTAAGAGTGTATCTTTATGTATCTGTTAGCGTGACAAGAAGGAGAGATTGCTTTACTGGTTTAAAATAAATCAACACACATCACACAGAGCCCGTTTCACAGCCACATACATGTTTCTCAAGCCAAAGCATCCAGACAACGACCTTTGTTTGCAAACATAAACACAGTTTTACATTAAAAAATACAATCACACTGTACATTATACAAAAAAGCCAACAGAAACTCTTAGAAATGTCCAAACCAAAGACATACAAAAGACAGCTGGGCAATTACAGTTCAGATCATTCGTATTGTGCTGTGAAGCTGTGTCCATTGGTTTATTATGTGTGTGCAATAGGCTCATGTCTCTAGAGACGTCTGTGACTGCTGCGGTACAAACGATATGGCTGATCCTCTAGACACCCGCGGCTCTTATCTGACCAGATGAAAGGTCAGCCAGTACATGAAGACGGGCTGCGCCGCAGCGATGGCCATCGTCAGGTACATGCGCAGCTGGTTTCTGGCTCCTCGCACTAACCGACCCTCTGCGGCCGCTTCAGACAGGATCTTTAGCCGCATTGTGCGAATCTGTCACCCAAACACAGACAAGAACCATCACATCTGAACTCTAGAGATCAGATTCAAACTGAAATATGCTGCGCTATTTAGATATTATACAATTCATTATACAATTGTCATACAATACAATTTAAAATAACCGTTTTCTATGTGAATACGTTGTAAAATGTAACTTATAATAAAACGGAGAGTTCCGGTCCTTGATTCTGATTGGCTGAGCCGCGTTCAAAGCTGTTGTAAATTACACTACAAACACACACCTTTGCTTACGTTTGTGTGATGCTCTGCAACCACTTTGTTGCAAACACAACTGTTTCTGAGGAGCTACATTGTTTGATGGAAGAATACTGTTTTTATTAATATCATTACACTTTTATTTTGTGAAACCTTACTACGTATATGGAATAACCGTTTTATAAAAGCAATAAGCCCCGTGAAGCCGTGGTTTACAGTGAATTTATAACAGCTAACTCAGGGTTAACTCCGCTTCGCGTCATGCCTAACAACGCCCCTTAGCTGTGATAAATGCACTGTAAACCACGGCTTCACGGGGCTTATTGCTTTATTATTCCTGTGATCAAAGATACGTTTTCAGCATAATTACTCCAGTCTTCAGTGTCACATGAGACAGTCGTGCTGCCGAATGTTTTTGTGGGAACTGTGACATTTTATTTTTCAGGATTCCTTGTTAAATACAAAGAACAGCAGAAAAGAACAGCATGTATTTGAAATAAAAATCTTTTGTTACATTATAAATGCCTTTACTGTCACTTTTGATAAATGTAATGCAACCCTGATAAGTTAATCTAAAATAATAATAATAATAATAAATCAGATTACAGTCCACATATAAATGTGGTTTGGATCGGGCTATTAAAAACTTTGTTGTTGTTTTTTGCTAAAAACATCAGATGTTCAAAAAGAAAACAAAACTGTACATGATTTTCTTAACTAAACA